TACAAAGGGTGGATGTAGATGGAATGTGTGCGTAGGTGGGAAACCAATGTTGCCGGTTTTCGGGACCGAGCGAGCGTAGATATATGTAGAGTATCTCTATCCTTCGGGAACTAGAAGATGAGGGAAAACCTGCCAATTGTAATTGTCATGGGTCATGTTGCTGGTCTTTCATGAGTGACTTGTTGCGACTCTGTGATTATACATGCTGAGCTTTGACTTGCAACTGGGTAGGTTCTACGGTCTTGGCCTCTCAAGGCTGGATCATACAAGACTTCAGAACCTGATCTATATATTGCCGATGCAAGTACCAGGCAGCCTCGGGCTCAGGCGTCTATCTAGCTCTCATATGCAAGGACTCCTCGTCTCCGCCAACATGGAAGATGAAAGCAAGTTGATGTGACCGATCTGACTGATCTGGTTCAGTTTGTCCGGGTGGTTGATGTCCACATGTCAATGGGCAGACCAGGTGTTGCATGTTGCGAGGACAGTTGAGGAACTTCTGGCAGAAGAGCTTCTTGAATACCCTATTCGAATTAGCAATCTGGGTCTCAGGTTACTAGTTCTTGGTGAATTATTCGGCCGGTAATATGCCGAGGCAGGGACGGGATGAGGACCGGTGATGAGATTGATGAGAATGGGTTATTCCGGCTTAGGGCGATAAGCTCGGTGCTTGGGCATCCTGCTCAACTAAAGCCACACGTTCTTGTTGCGTCCGAAAGACTGGAAGATTGAATTTGGATGTGCTGTGTTCAACCACGGAAGCCTGCGCTTCTCGGTGCCTTTATAAGGAGCATGTGGCCGACGGGTGGCCTCAGGCTGGATGCTTGCTTTCTGGGTAGCTTGACGTTGGGTTTGGGTTTAGGCTTTGGGTTGGGAAGAATGAGATCTGGAATTCATTGGGTGTTGATGTGATCTGGGCTGCTTACTTAGTCGTGACAACTCGGCATTACCACATCTGCCTTACTGGCCATAGAAGAAAGTCACTCCGGGGCAGTCAACGTGGGTACCAATTTGCTATGGAAGAGACCGATAGTCTAGGCGAAAGACAAATAATCTCTTATGTCACAACAGAATGTCGTCGAATCGCGCTCAGATGTGCGTCCAACGAGGCCGAGGCGGATACTAGGCTGGTGACGGGATCTTCAGAATCTCGGTATCTGGACTGTTTTGGCAGCCTCACAGGACACATCGGATAGCTACAGACAATAGTCACGATCCTGCAGGCTGGCTCCAGACGCAAGCGAGCACCTGCGCGGCTTCGAGATCTTCACGACGAGTGTGGAACAGAGTTGCGGTGCATCAATGAAGCTAAAGGCGAACCATCACTGGCAAGGAATTGCCTGAATTCGCCCACCTACTTGCCTGATCTGCCTTACCTGCCGTGCCTGCCTAACTGCTTGGTCACTTTGTGGAAGTAATAGACGGACGGGACACGGCATGCATTGCGCGTGGCTCCTGCCGACTTCTCCATTTTTGGGCGGGAGAAAGCGCGCCTGCCGTACCTGCCCCGCGCGGACGGGGAGGCCGTTTAAATCACGTGTACCTTGAATCTATTGGCCAGGGCCTCTTCTCACACCTGCAGCGTACTTCCACTTTGTTTCTTGTTACCCAAATGAGAAACCTAAAGCAATCGCAGCCTGCAGTTGATGCCTATAGCCTGCAGACACCTCAGGCAGGCTCTCCTTCGACGATGCATTCCCCGCGCAAATGCGCTCGTGAGTCGTGATGATGGCCTCACTAATACGAACATGAGGCAGCCAGATCCATTCGCAACCCGAGACAGCACCGAACAAGAATCTGTGCCACAACAAGCCCACCTTCAATGCATCGCAAGAAAAGCCTGATGCTGTGCTTGGGGCTACAGCTGCATCTGCTGGTCCAATTGCATCACCTCAATGTGCCGTGGCTACATGACGATGCGGTACAATCAGAAATGGCCTCACGATAGCGACTTCTATCGAGCCACTGATTCTAGAACACCTTGCATCTCAAACCTCCAAGGGCAAGAAACAGACTGTAGCACCATCGCTTGATGCGGCTCATTGGACACTCGTTTTGACCAGCCAACGGGAATCTCGAAGCTTGCAGCTTGCCCAGCCCAATGACACAAAATGAGGCTTGCAACTAGAATGCAGTGCTGACAGGAGATAAATACCCCGCTCTCCATCATGCTTCAAGTGCAAGAAAGGAGCCGATATCCTGTTGGCACCGTCCTCTCTCAGTCCTCCCTTTGCTTTCGTGACCATCTCAGTAGCTGGCATTCTGCACAAGATGGCTGCCTCTTTCGTTGACTTGGCTGGCATCGCCAAATTGGGTGTACAGCTTGCTACGAAGCTCGCAATCTATCAACTCGGCACCTCTGGATCAGATAGCGATATCCACAGTCTCAGTGACGATGTCCTTGCTACAGCGGCAGCACTAAGCCAGCTGCGGGAATTTCTCGCCGCTGATGCACTTGAGGTATCACCCGTCTACCGGTACGATGGTCGGGAAGCCATCGAAGATCTTGCAGCGAGATGTGGAAAGGTGTATACCACCATTATCCGCAGCGTTTATAGAGCAAGTCTTGCTGTCAAAGTCGTCAAAGATGTGGACTTTGAGTCCCTTAGCACGGAGGACCTGAAGGCATCCAGGCTGCATGCAATCAGCGACAACATGGACTGGGATATGGTCGAGGAAGCCATTGAGACGAGTGAGGTCCAACTGCGCTGGCTCAAAGCAAGTCTGCTCCTCCACATCCAAGTAGCTGGTATTGCTGGCCTTCAGATCAAGTAAGTGCACCTTATGCCGTGACGATGAACGATTTAGCTAACCACTCCTCAGACCGAGATATCCTGGCAGTTTTGACGAGGAATTGGCCTCAAGGAGTCTGGCAATGCGTTTGTTGACATGCAAGGGCAAAGCCGCCAAGGAACTCGTCGAGATTGCTGAGAGAAAGGAACGTCTGGCGCTTGCAGACAAGCCTGACACTGAGAGCGTTTACGAATCTTCAGCAGCATCATCAGTCAGCGGCAGCGGCGTTGAAGATGACGCAGAATCCTGGAAGTCTGGCGAGACAGCTAATGACTCTAGGGCGCCATCCCTTTGTGGTGATAAGACGGAGGAGAATGCCAAGGTCACGCCCGTCGTTGAGATTGATATATCTCCTCCTCCGCCACCGCCGATGGCTGCCCCGACAAGTTTCTGGCACCAGCCGTGGGACGGGGGCCCTGACGCAGGCCCGGTTGAAATCAAGCTCTTGTCACCGAAGCGTCGATTCCCAGCCAAGGTCTTCAAGTCTGTTGGCAAATGGTTCAAGGGTATTTTCAGCCGCAACACCATGCCACCCATCATCGACCTAGATCTCGAGGCGACGGTCCTGAGGAATGGACCATTCCCAGAGTCCTTCTTGGCATTGGAGCCCAAGATGCTCCGTCTCGAGCTGAAGCGCATCCTGAAGCAAAGCTCCAAGACCCCTGGCGACGCGTTCCTGATCCAGGACGACCAACTTCGTTCTGCCGTTCAGGGTGCTCTCTTCCGTGCCCAGAGAAAGGATGGCCGCACCAGGCAGCTTATCACTGTAGATGTCACCACCCGACCAGATGTCGCGGTTGTGTACATGTCGGTCGATCCGGCGGCAGAACCCGTTCACATGACTGATGTTCTGGGTCGAAAGTACGATATTCCATTTGAGCAGTGCCGCACCGTTCAAGTAAGATCCCCCCCCTTTTAGTACTCCATGAATCCTCAACTAACCGGCGTCTACAGGGTGCGCGTGTATCAATCCACCAGCGCTTCAAAGACGTCAACAGGCTCTGGAACCTCGTAAGAGACGGAGCATATGAGATCGTCGACGAGAACGACACTGTCATCACGCCAGAGGCATGGCAAACAACCATCAAGCCCGGCGCCGTTCTCCACATGCGCATCTCGGCCTTCAACGACGGCATGAACGGAGGCGTCTTCGTACCACCCGGCGCGCCGGACCCGCTCACGTGGGCCGAGCCTTACACGCCGCCGCCCATGCCACCAGGCTGCTGGAGGGGACCCCCCATGCCTCGGGGGATGCGCCCGCCGGGATTCTGCCGTCCTGGAGGCCCGGGGCCGAAGGGATGCATGCCTCCTCCGCCACCGCCTACTTTTCCGCGCGTTATGCCGCACGTGATCACAGTTGAGCCTAGAGAGCGTGCGGAGCTTGGCTTCGAGCCCGACTTTGGGCCGAACCTGACGCGAGAGGAAGACCTGGGCGAGGGGCGGAAAGACCTCGGTCGGTGGGTTGCTTTGTGGACTAATGCTACGGACACGGATTTCACCTCTGACTCGGGCGGTATCCCGTCTTATGATGATGCCTCTTCCATCATGTCTGGGTCGTCCTCGTCCTCGGATGAGATTGTGGATGATTGAATCATCTTAACGTTTGTTCCTCCTCGTTAGCAACGTGGCTCTGAGGTTTTAAGCCTTTCACTTTGCTGATCTGTTGGGTGTCACTCTTTTCGCCCTCAGTACCTATACGTTTATGATGTTGTCACGATTATGAGTAGGCAGGTTGGACTTGGGCTTGAACGCCTCCGTTCCTCAATCGCGTTTCGTTCGAATATGTCAATGTTGTATCCGTATGGCCAGATATCGTTATTTAATTTCTCTGATACATGACAAGTCATACTTTGTTTATGCCACTTCGGAATACTTCTCAGAGAACTCGAGCGTTAAAGCGACTCAAGGAAGCTCTGTGATACGGATCACCTCCTCTTTGGGCCCTGCCTTCATGCACGCAAAACACAAACCCAAGAAGCTGTAGTGTGGCTATGTGGCAAGGCGTTTTTCAAGCTAAAGCAAGGGTCTCACTGGTTGTCTTCCACCCCATGCAGGTTGATGTGTCGCACTTGCACCCACGTCAGCATGTCTTCCAACGGTGGTTCGCCAGAAAGCCACAGCAGGCAAACTCTCGCAGGTTGAGCAGCCGCAGCAGGGCTGACCGGCTTGATTGGTTCTTGATCCTGCCCTCGAACAGTCAAATCATTATGTTCCGGATTCCTCCCAAGGCCCTCGAGGCCTCTGAAGTTCTTCCTCTGCCACCCAGATTCAACACACCTGCAACGCATACGGCTTATTCTCACCTTCGTCACCCATGGCGGATCCTTTGTCGACGGCAGGCAGCGTTGTTGGGATCATTTCCCTCGGGATTTAGGTCGTGCGGTCAATCTACCAGTACTACAGTGCCGCGAAAGACCAGCACTCCGACATTGCTCGCACCCTGCGGAAACTCGAAGATCTACAATCCTTGTTCGAAAGGCTGAACACCCACCTCAGCGATCGAAAATTTCGATCCAGTGAGGCGGCTTTGCTTCAAAACATTGAGTCCACGATTCAACACTGCGAGGAGTCCATCGACGAGTTGGAACAAGAAGCGAGGAAGTTTGAGAAGAAACCGACCGACGGTGCTCGAGCTGCAATTAAAGGTGTCGTTCGTCGCTTGGCATACCCGTTTAGGGAGAGCACTCTCCTGAAGCTGCACGAAGACATTGACTATCTCATCAGTCAACTGTCTCTGGCTTTGTCACTCCTGCAGCAGCAGACCATCGATCTCGTACAAGATGAAATCGAGAATACCAATGCCATAATCAACTTAATTCGAACCTCGCAAGTCTCCTCCGAGATCCGAGCTTGGCTCAATGCTCCTGACGCGACCTTCAACTTTACTGAAGCATGTTCGAAGAAACACCCAGGAACTGGTACTTGGTTCGTCAACGGGCCTGAATTCACTCGCTGGTTGGAGGGGTCAAACTCGTTTCTTTGGCTGAAGGGCTTTGCCGGCTGCGGAAAGACTGTTCTGAGTTCGACGGTCATACAGCACACCCTCCGTCACCGTAGATCAAACCCCTCCATCGGGCTCTGTTTCTTCTTCTTTTCATTTAATGATGAATCCAAACAGGATGCATCAGCTATGCTCCGAGCGCTCATTTTGCAGCTATCTGACCAACTTGACTATGTTCCATCCGCACTGCAAAGAATACATGATTTGAGGAAGAAACACAACATTCCACCGTCCACGGCAGATCTACTTCAATGTTTCCGTCAGGTCTTACAGCTTTTCCAAAAAGTCTATGTTGTTTTGGATGCACTAGATGAGAGCCCTCGGGAAACTAGTCGGTTCGATCTTTTAGAAACATTGAAAGAGATTCGGACTTGGTCAGAGCTGGGATTACATCTTTTGATAACCAGCCGAGACGAAGTCGATATTCGTGAAGGATTAGAGGTCGAGAAACAAGCGACTATCTTAATGAAGCACGAAGGAATAGATGATGATATTGCTAGCTTTGTCTCGCAATACCTTCAACGGCGTCTCAAACTTTGGAAAGAGCACCATGCTCTGATTGAAAAGGTCTTGACCGAGAAGGCACATGGCGTGTGAGTAGACGTATCTGAAACTTAAATTGTCAGTGCTAACGATTGTAAGTTTTCGTTGGGTTGAATGCCAGTTCAAAGCACTCGCAATGTGCCCAAGGAGCAAGCAGGCACTCGATCGGCGACTTCAATCCTTGCCTCCGACCCTGGATGAGACGTACAAAAGAATGCTGGAGAATGTTCCCGACAAAGACTACGCCAAGCAAATGCTGACGATTCTATGTTGCGCATCAAGACCTTTGACTGTGCCAGAGTTGATCAACGCTTTGGCAATCGAAATCGGTGCAACGTCCTTTTTGAACTCAGATCGGCAATTGCCAGATGCGGACTCTCTTCAAGAGATTTGCCCAGGCTTCACCGAGGTAGCCCTGGACCTTGACACAGAAACAGTAATCATTCGTATTGCCCACTTCTCTGTACAAGAATATCTCGAATCTAGTCGAATCCTTTCACCGGAAGGCTACGCTTCTTTCAGCATACCAAAGCGCTGTGGAAATCTACTGCTGGCGTCAATGTGCCTCACTTTGCTGCTAGAACGTGAGTTACAGATGACCAAGCTTGAAGAGATTAACGAAAAGTATCCCTTTGCAAAATACGCTGCCAAGGAGTGGGTGAGCCACTGGAGGAAGAGCATCGGGATTGGCGCCGCATTATACGATAACGACTGCCACTGCGATCCTGAAGTATCCCACGACAGGCTAGTTATACGACTTCAGGACCAGATGTTATTACTTTTCAGAGACAAGAAAGGGGCAATGGCAAATTGGCATAAGCTATGGCACCTTAATTCTGACTGGTTTGGGGGAGACGACGAGATGCCATCTCCACTTTGCTATGCCATCATTATCGGTGCTCGCTTCCTGGTAGAACGCCTCTACGAGGACTGTAGAACACAATGCAGCCTCAAACATCCAACGGAAAGATGCATCGATCATATGGGAGAAAAAAATGGAAGCCTTGCTACACTATTACAAGCAGCGGCAGCTTTCGGTCATCGAGACGTGGTAGATTTCTTCCTTGACAAAGGAGCGGACCCAAACATGAAGGTGGCGCAGACGCCTACGGCATCTGGCACTCCTTTGATGACGGCTTCGGCTCATGGTCAGACAGAAATCATAGAGTTACTGCTCAAGCTTGGTGCGGATGTCAATGCCGTTTGGTCCTCCGTGCCGCCAAGGAAACTCCTTGGTCGCGGACGACGGCAGTTGGTTTTTATTGATGAAACTCCCACTGCATTAGCAGCGGCATCAAGGTTTGGTATCAAAGAAGCCGTGAAGTTATTACTGCAACACGGAGCAGTTGATGATGTTCACTCCAAATTCTTTTCTGCCTTGACGGCAACGATGGACCCTATATTCGCAACCTGTGGGTCCTCAAAGTATGCTGCGTGTAGAGAACTCCTTTTCGAAAAGTTTGATGGCTTCAAGGGCACTAAGAGTCCTGAAATTTTGAAGGTCTATATGGAAGTAGCGGCGAAAACCGGAAACGCAGGCTTTGTCCGAAAGTGCCTGGACAAATGGATCCTTTATGGAAAGCCTAGCTTTTCGTCCGGAATATTACTTCAGTTCGCGCCAGCCGGTGGGCATCGAAAGACTGTTGATCAACTCCTTCAGTCGAACGCTAGGATGACCGGCTCTGCTGACTGCCCTCACATGATGGAAGGCAATGACATTGTACACCTGGTCTTTCAAGAAAAGCTCGAGAGCTCAATCCAAGATCACATTCTTGAATTGATTCAGCTCTTCGCACAAGACGGCGATTGCTGAACACATCGAAACCTTCGGAAGTTGTTACATGGAAACCATTGAGTGGTTGTGTTATGGTAAATGACTGGTGAGGTGAAGAGGATCGGGTAGAGAATCTACGTATGCCCTCTCTATTTCGTGTCTCTGCTCCGACCGTGTTGTACAGAATTTCCAATGTCATCAGGCGGACGTGATACCAGTGACGTTTGTACTGTAGCCCGAGGAAGAACTTTTAGGAATTGCCCAGCAAAAAGGTCGACGGAATTAGAGAAGAAACTTGAAAAATCAAGCTGGAACCAGCTGCTTCCGAGTACCATCACCACAGTCCGCATATCCCTCCTTCATTTCTTGAAAACGGTCTCCTCCAACCTTCGCCCATCATCAAGAACCACAGTCTCAGACCCAACCATGACAAACAAAACCCTTGTAAACCCATCCGAAGCATTAACCCACTCGTGATTCACCCCTCCCTGCACAATAACCTCCCCCGCCCTAACAACCTTCTCTTCCCCGCCATCCAGCCTAAGCACAATCTCCCCAGCCAGCACGCACGCATAGTCAACACTGAGAGTCCGGTGCATAGGCGCCTTATACCGTGGTGGGAAATCCGTGAGACAAAAGTACGTCCCTGCCGCTGGTGCGCGCGGGAGAGATGTTGATAAAGTTTGTAGAGGTGTGTTGGGTGCGTTGGAGGCTGGGAGGGACGGGGTTGTGTGGAAGGAGGTGAAGCTGCTCGCTTGGGGGCCGAAGGGGTGGAATGGCGGGAGGACGGCGTCGGATGTGAAGATTGAGGTGCCGTCGTTGGTGTGACCTGTTGTTATGAGGCGGACTGGGGGTAGAGGGGTTGCTTGTGGTGCGGTGTTGGGGTTTTTTTGGTCTGACATCTTTGTTGTGAGTTTAGTGATGACTGATGGAAATGCTTGATGATCTTCTTGAGTGAGGTCCGGATGTTGCGTGGGAGAAGCGTCTTGTGATGATGTACGGATGTCGTTGATTGTTGTTCGGAGCCCAGTCTTGGCGAGACCTGCACTTTTTATATCTCACACTCAACCCATCATCAACCTCAATAAACATCCACATAATCACCTAACTTCAAGCTTCGTGCTCGCATTCATCAAGATGCCCCGCTCATGAAATGCGACGCCATCGCGTTAGCGGCGGATAACGGCCCAGGAAACATAAGCGCTAGCGAATAAGGCAGGAAATCAAGCTTCGATCAACACCTGCAAAGACATTGACCAAGCCAATTACAGCAGTCAAGCTAACTGCTTGTGGCATCTTGCTTTGAAACCTCGTGCAATTGATGGTAGCATTGACAGGAAGCGCGCGGCTTCTCGGGACGCGAGGTTCAGCGCGAGACCCTTGAGCCTGGTGTTTGGTGGTGATCGTGGGGGAATTGCTTGGGTAAGCGGGCGTATGCTTACATATGGATGTCGGCGACTCATATGATGGAATTAGTTATCACATAAAGAATCGCGACTCGGCTTCGAGTGGTGTCTTATCGCCGTTGCGGTGCATGCATGAACACACGCCTTGCGGGGATTCGGAGCGTTTCAACGCGAATTGGTGATGTCAGGCACAAGTTACGATGTCGGAAAACGAGGGTACCGTCCCGGAAGAAGTCTCAATTTGGGGAACAGCTCTGCAGACGTCCATATGCTTCTTGTAGAAGGGACTACAGCTCTCGCAGGGTCACCCATCTGATTAGCAGACCACAGACATGTCTCAGCCGCGGACGTCTACTGGTAGGGCGGCAGGCTTTGCCGCCCTACGAAATCGCGCATGAGGACTCTTCGATCTGGGTGTATCTGCTTTGTACTATGCCGTGGTGTTCTAGACATCCTGAACACGAGCAGTCGAGGACATGCAGTATCTCTAAACATCGTCGCAAAGGCTACTCATGAAGTTCTTTGACGACATGCGCAAGCGTTCTAAGCTGTGCTACCACCGCACTGCATACCTCCTCTCGGATATAAGCGCGTGTCTGGAACGACGATTTCATACGAAAGCAAGCAGAACAAATGCTGTCAATCAAAGCCTAGAAGCCCATGAGGACTCATTGTTCAACAGGCCAACTTTTCTTGTGCAACTCCGAGAACCTTATGAGCAGTCTTGGCAGAAATGTACATCGGCCTGCCGATGTTTTCTGTCGCCAAGTAGCCGATCTCGAGTCTCCAAGGGGACCTGAACAGGCGATCAAGTCAATGCCCATAGTTTCGCGCGATACAACACCTGTTCACGAGACAAGCCTGTTCGCGAAGAACATAGCATGGCAATGGAGATGGGAAAGCAAGATGCCAGGATCGTCAACGGACCAGAGCCTGGACGACTATTAGCAGTGAATAAATAAACCATTTCCTTTCTCTGAATCAGACTCATCTCCAAGAACGCTGTTCCAGCAGCTAGAGATGACCACCTGCCTCATATCTAAACCACAGTCACCATCATGCGCGCTCTCATGAATGATTCACTACCTCGACACCGCCCTCTCCAGCAACACTATAAAACAAAACATCTCCACCGCGGAATCAACAAACATTCTTCTTCTACATCATCAACACATCAAATACATTCAAACATCAACCAATCAACCAAACCAAACACTCAAAACACTCAAGCAATCCACCAACTTACCACTTTCCCACACATCAACCAGCAATCTTCTACAAAGAACCACACATCAAACCACAACGATTACCCAAACAACCAACAACATCAATCAAACCGACGCAATGGCTCCCACTTGGCCTGTCACTCGCCCCAAGCCTCCCCACCCTCCTCCCGACCCGGCTCCCAAGCCCCTTCCCCCCAGCAAGTAAGCAATGGACGATATAAGGAAGCATACCTTGGTCATGGAGCGGTGGCAGGATGAACAAAAACACACCTGAAGGATGAAGATGTTCTCTTCTCCATTCTCAGTCACACCTGAACGGTGAAGATACTCTTTAGTAGCTAGCTACCCAGTACCTTAGTCAATAAAACTCAGTCAAAACAAGAAATTTGCCCCTGATCTATCAGTATCTGGAAATATGTCTATAATGCCCTGTGAATTCGCAAATGCAACGATGACTGCCTTGACATAAGTCTTCATTCTTAAATACGACGAGGGAAGGCGGCGCATCGAAGTCGTTGAATCAACCTTACGAGGATACCTAAAATGGAAGGTAGTACCGGCCCCGGAGAAAGCGGGTCCGACACGCACCGAGCCGGATTGTCGGCACAGCTGCCGGATCGGAAGATTGCGAACTCAAAATTCGGGATCGGACGACGGCGGACCGAAGACACTGTCATCTTACCCCGAATCTCTGCATCTCTGCGAGATAATTACCGATGTGTTGATACGACAATCTATACGAGAGACAACCTAGTGCGGGAAGCACGCCTGGATCACAAGCAAGGATGATCCATAGCAGCGTCGCGGACGTGAACCGAGGATACCTTGGGCTGTAGACATAGAGTTGGTGCCACGAACTGACACTTTCCATAGTTATGTGACGGCGGCCTCGGCGTGCCGACGGTTCAAGCCTAAAGCTTAGCGGGTCTCTCGGGAACATGTTTGAAAGTTTTGTCCTAGACTCGCCAACGGGCGACTCTGTAACCTTAAGTGCCGATGGGCAGGGCTTTGCCGGACGAGAAACCAAATCTTCCGGATGTTTCTTTGTGAAGGAATCGTTGAAACCGAGAGCGACGCTAGCCTGAAGGAAACAACTCCAGGTTGCTTTTCCCCCTCGACGTCATGCCACCAAAACGGTGGTGCGGCTCAGCTTCCAGAGTGTGCCTCACCGTCGTGGTGCCCACCTCACCTGAAGCATTGGTGCGCGCAGTAGTGGTTTTTTTGGGTAGCAGAGCCTGTCAATCATAGCAGGGCCAATAAGCGCTGGGATGATGGCGTTTGGGTTGCATCCCGGAAGTGTAGCCCTACGAGCTTCCAAACTGGCAGCGCTGGAGCCCGAATGACATATGCCCGCGCTAGGCCCAGGAGAGACTCGAGTCCAGCTTTGAAGGTAACAACTCGCGAATAAAATGCCGGGGCTGTTTTGCCAGTCGCCGGCAAAGCTCGTATTGTGGTCCGCGGATTAGGCAACTCCATAACAACGAGGACCAATGTTCAGCCCACAGAGAGGCAACAAAGCCAAGATTGCGCACAGCGTACGAGATCGTGGGGAAAAACTGGATCTGGTACACCCTCAGGATTCAGCGATGGAGCTGGCGGCGTTCACTCAGCTTGGGAAGGCTTGCGGGACAGCTCAAAATGCGCCGTGTCTCTTTTGGCGGGCCAATCCACGGCTTTTTAGGTACCTTGGCTTGAGCCGGTGGGCGTACAAAGAGCACAGGAACTTATGGAAGTGTGTGGACGTGGAGTCGAACCGCATATAGCCGTATCAACAACGATACGAAGTGGGTTGGGCTTGAGAAGGCGGCACACCTATGGGAAAGGAGAAAATGTTCGGCGATATTTGTGGCAGTAAGATTTGCAAGGACGGGCAGAAGGGATAAATCTTGCAACCATCATAGAACACCGGACGAACGCCTCTTCGTAAACAGATATGGACAGTTGGAAGCGAGGGGGGTCAGAGTAGTCTTCAAAACGCGCCGTCAACGAGACCAAACATGCCATACCCACATGTTGGATCTGAAAGGGCAATGATGTGACGTGAACGATGGCTCGGACTTCACCTCGGAAGTCCTAAGGGGTACCGGCAATTGGTGGACCTGATGAAAGTAAAGATTGCAGAACGGGTAGGTCGGCTGGCAGGCTGAGGTGAGAGCGAGAAAAAAGTCGTTCGGCGCCAAAAGGCAAAAGGGCAGCTACAAACGGCAGCTTTGCCAGAAAGGAGATGGGCGATCGGCACGGCCGTGATGTGGGCGGGTTGAAAAACGGCGCGGAATTGTGGCTGTCAGCATATCAGTCAAGCCGTGGGCTGTATGTACTATGTAGGCCGTCATGCTCCGTTGGAGCATATCTGTGGTCTGTGAGATTCGGCCGAGCTTCGCAGGTAAAAACTGGGGGTGAATTCGATCTATTGAAGTGTGCGTTATGCGCTGTCAGCGGAAGAGAGTGCGAGGAGTGCGAGGCCTAGATAGACGGTAGAATGTCTCGTGTTGCTAACGGTCGTGACCCTGAGACATGCATATGCCTTGCCAACGTCGATGAGAGAAGCGAAAGAAGAGCGGTGGGTTGATTGAGGGGAATCGAGGCGACATGAGGACTACTGCAAGCAGCAGCAGTCATTAGCCAGGGGATGGAGAGGCGATGGCATGATGTTGACGGGCCTCGTCGGATTTGGTGCGTCGTGTGATTGATGCTGTATAATCGCTGGTGTTGTAAAGTTGGAGGAGGTGTCGCCCGGCAGGCAGAAGCCACGCCCATGGCGCTGTCAAGGCACGCCACACGCCTTCGGGCGCCCCAGGAGGGAATCTGCAAGAAGCTTGCGGGAGAGGAAAATTCCGGGTAGGTCGAATGGCGGCAGCGAAAGAGAGCGCGATGAGAGCCTTGAAGTTTCCTGCTTTCTTGCTCGAGCCAGCGCCCGACTCTCTAGCGGTGAGACCCACCTGGCTGACAATGTGAGCAGAGCGTATGAGCGCAAGGTAAGGTACCTTCCAGGAGAACAATAATAAGCGTGAGATGTTGAGTGTGAGTTGTCTGTGGCGCACGGCAGGCGCTAAGCAATTCCTGTATTTTCAACCCGGGGAAGGAGGAGGAGTTGGTGGAGAAGGAGCAGCGGAAAGTTGTGGAAGCCACACTTTACCTCTAAAAATTGTCCGTGGAAGGCGCATGCACAGTACGGATACCCCAATGTGGAAACTGCCGTCACCTGACAAGTGCGGGCAGTAACACAGTAAGATACAACAAGTGGGACTGTACATGCAGGCGCTGCAGGACCGCAGGGCAGGCAGGTAAGCTCCTCCCTGGCTCCTTCATGTAAGATTTCCCCGACCGCAGCATCGTATGCCTATCCCGATGCCGCTTCCCCCGTCTCTCTTACACCGTGCCACCCTCAACAACCCAATCCCGACCTCGTAGCACGGCTATCTGTCGACTTGGCTTACCTCTTTCCATCACATCTCTCTGTTCTCATTCGCCAACTGACGATACCACATCCTGCAGCTCATCATCCATCTTCCATGTCCTTGGAATTCTCCCAGACCGTCTCCAAGGTAATCCCGGCCGAGATAATGCTGACTCTGACTCCTTATCCTCCCAGAGTTCCATCAGACCATCGCCTGGCCCGGCTCTCGTTCATCTAGAGTGTCCACTTGAGACTTTGCTGCACGCCATCTCAAGTCCCCAACAACCTCGTGGGTCCCTTGAGCTTCTTCCCCTCCTCATCTTTCTGCGCCGGCTGACCCTAAAAATAGCCCCCAACTACCATGCGGCCGGGGCAATACTCTAAGCAAGCCGGTGACTCTTGCTATGGAGAAAGTATACTACGAGTTTACGGCACATTTCGATACGAGCCGCCCGATGATGTCGTTGAGCCCATGACCAAGATAGGCCCGACCAGCTCCGGTTATCCTGCACATGCTCTGTGTACTACCTTATTCCATGAATGATTCGCCCACCAACCGCGCAGCTTAGTCAACCGACGGTGCCGCGCTCTCTTGTTACCTCATTAGTCCCTAACCTTCGTCTTGGCGAATCAGATGCTCCGTCTCCGTACTGGCTCGGTCTGATCGACCCTGGAGACAGCTCGCCGGTGAACGCAACCCAAGAAACGCTTTTTTTGCTTTTTGCACCGTTCTGCATTCGTATCCGCGAAACTTCCACGTACCCCGACCGACCCGACTGTCTCTGGCGGATGCCCGGCCAGACGAGCCTCACCGCCGACTCCAAGACTGGTCTACAGCAGCATCCTAGCAAGAAGCCAGGTCCTTGTCGTGTGCGTCGATCTGCCTTCTCGCTTAGATACGCTGGCAACTGAGCCATGCCCTAGAATCTCGACAACTCAATGGGTCCCTGGAGCGCCGGAATACCTCCCGTGCCAAGCAGTGGAGTGCCCGAACCGTACGAGCCTTCCAGCTGAGCTCAGACGGTCCACCGTGACTGTTGTCGTTCCATCTGGATATACTACGATCTGGTCCAACTTTCAGGCCTCTCGCGGTTGTGCTCCAGTCAGGCCGCACGTTTCCTGGGTGCGGTCAGACCTCTGCCTGCTAGCCCGGATACATACCATCCATATCACATCAGAACCTTCAATGTGTCATTGCAAGCTGGCAGTTGATAGTGGAAATTGTGCTGACATGTTGCATGTCAAAATACCAAATCAAGCGCCCTACGATGCACTGCAAACCTATCGGCACACGTCTGGACCATCCGCGAGTACCGAACCATGACATATAGCTGTCCTCCAAGTGGCCCGTCAGCCTCATCCTTCACCTATTCTCAGCCTGTGTCACACGAGCCCGTCGTAGCCGTCGGTGCAGCTCATAGGTAGACATAGGGCAAGAAATTAGCACCTCCAAGGCAGATCTTGGGTCCAATTTGGGGATCTGACATGATCCGCACCACCCAACCAGCTTTGTCGCATTCCGTCTGCCTGGCTACTGCCACCCATGACAAGCCGGAGCTCAGCCTCATCCCAGACTTGTCCCTGCTTGGCTTTTTCCATCCTTTCTTAGTACGCATCTTCTCTGCCCCGTATCGGTATCGCTAGCTCGACCCGAACGACCTGAAGCATGTTCCATCTACCTCCACATGGCACAACAAACATACCTTCTTTCTCCACAACGCACGATCGTATCCACCATGAAGGGGACTTGGCTTATTGTTCCCTCCATGTCAGAATGAGGCATGGTAACTGCCCAAGGGGCAGGGGTAGGATGCACCTCACTTCTACTCACACCTCACCTTCTTACTCGCATCAAGATATGCCTGGAAAGCTGCCGGTCTGTGTAGACGCCACCCCGAGGCCTTGGACATGCAAGTGCACCGAGACTATTGATGTCGACCTCCCGAAAGAGGCTAAGGCCTTGAAGGGCTGCTCCAGGCAAGACTTCACATTGATACACAAGTTGTATATAATTCCAACTCTCCCTTCGGATATCTCGACGAAAGCACACAACACCAAGTCAGTCGCTCATCTCCTACCAGTCTTGTGCTTTCACGTTCATCATGCTTTCCACCTTCATCAGCTCCAGCCTTGGGGCTTTCCTCCTTGCTTCCCTCGCCAATGCCAACCCCATTCGTTCGGTTGAGCAAAGGCAGACAGGCTGCGGTACCAACGGTATCGGTAACCGAGAATGCTGGAACGGAGACTTCAACATTGATTCCGATTTCGAGATCTTGACACCGCCCCAGGGAAAGTTGAGAACCGTGAGTATCTTCTCTGCTTGATATTGAACCTGTTCTGACGACTTGAGTAGTTTGACTTCACCCTAAGCAACTTGACCGATGTCGCGCCAGATGGCGTTCACAAGCCGGCCATGTTGATCAACAACCAGTTCCCGGGTCCCACGATCGAGGCGGACTGGGGTGACACCATTCAGATCAACGTCCACAACCAACTCCAGACCAACGGTACCTCCTTCCACTGGCATGGCATGCATCTGCGCGGCCACAATGACCAAGATGGCGCCAACGGTGTTACGGAATGCCCTATCCCCCCTGGACAAAGCAAGACATACTCCTTCCAGTTGACTCAGTACGGTACATCATGGTATGTTAGCTTCTTTGTTGTTGCAGACTTGGACCCACCGACTAATGCGTCTGCTTCAGGTATCACAGCCACTTTTCCGCTCAGTACGGCAACGGCGTTGCAGGCGCCATCCAGATCAACGGTCCGGCGTCCGCTGACTACGATATTGACCTCGGTCCATTTGTTATCAGCGACTGGTACTACGGAACTGCAGATAACCTCTTGCGCCAAGCCGAGCTTGTGCCAGCCCGTCCCCCGCCTAGTGACAACATTCTCTTCAACGGCAAAAACATCAACCCACTTGGCGCTGGCGGTCAATACCAGAAGACGAGGCTGACCCCGGGCAAGAAGCACCGTCTCAGGCTCATTAACACCTCTGTTGACAACACTTTCACCGTCTCCCTGGTAGGCCACAGCTTCACCGTCATTGCTACCGATCTCGTTCCCGTGAAGCCAGTCAGCAAGGACAGCCTCTTCATGACTGTCGGCCAGCGCTACGATGTAATCATTGAAGCAAACAAGGAAATTGAGAACTACTGGTTCAACGCGACTGTTGGTGGCGGCGGTCTTTGCGGCGAGACGAAGAACCCTCACCCCGCTTCAATCTTCTTCTACGATGGATCTCCGGATAGACTGCCCGTTGACCAAGGTACACCTCCCCCCAACCTGGGATGCGCTGATACCACCGGGTTTACTCCTGTGCTCTCCCGAACAGCCCCCTCAGACAAGTTTGATGCGAGCAAGACACTGGACATTGCTTTGGACACGCCGACTATCAACGGCGCAGCGGTCTATCGCTGGAAGGTCAATGGGAACGACATTGACGTTCAGTGGGACAAGCCTACTTTGGAGTACGTTGCTGAGGGCAACAACTCCTGGCCGGAACGTGCCAACATCATTGAGATCCCCGAGGCCAACGATTGGACTTGGTGGGTGATTGAGAACACTGGCGCTCTGCCGCATCCCATCCATCTCCACGGTCACGACTTCTTGCTCCTCGGTACTGGCAGCGGCACATTCAGCGGCTCAGAGGGCCTCAACTTTGAGAACCCCACCCGCAGAGACGTTGCACAACTCCCCGGCTCTGGATGGATGGTGATCGCATTCAAGACAGACAACCCGGGCGCCTGGCTGATGCATTGCCACATTGCCTGGCATGTGAGCATGGGTCTCAGCGTTCAGTTCCTCGAGCGAAAGAGCGAAATCGCTTCAACGCTCGACCTGGCATCGATCAAACCGACCTGCGATGCTTGGAGGAAGTATGAGCCAACCGCCGTGTGGCCCAAGCATGATTCTGGATTGTAAGAAGAAGGTCGTCTTGGGCTGGCTGAGAACACAAACAGCATATGTGGCGTCCAATTACTGAGAGGACCAACTGCGGTGTGGTGGGCAGTCGACACGAGAGCACCAAGCCAGCCTGGCGCCTCAGCCTTCAACGTCATTCTGCTTTTATTGGCCTTTTTTCGGCTATGACTCGATTTCCGGGCGGTCACCCAACCCTCCATGATTGCCAGGGTTTGGTGTGCCGCGGAATCCGGGCCTCTCCGGTCCTGTCATGGGTCACCGGCGCGCATGACAGGTACACCACCTCTTCGCAGCGGACTTTCGGGCCTCACAAGCATTCAGCGCGCACGCGCACTAATTAATGATCGACTTACGCAGCAAGGATATGGGAGGAGAACATTTACTTTTAGCAGGCGCAGGCATTTCATTGGTGTTTTTCCTTATGCATGGATTGGAGTTGTCCGGTTGCTGATACCTATTTTGTCCGCTCCGCTTCATCGATTGGTCTATTTTCATTTACATGGGTTAAAAACATGCATAGAATTGGGTGAGCAGGGTTACAACATGATTTGCTCGGACTTTTCTACAGAAACATGCCTAATTCATTTATTCTTTTTTCCGTCAAATTTCTCAAGTAAAGTAATGATGTTTTCCGCTCACACACATTTTCAGCCCTATGACCTAAGGTGCATGCAATGCAGTAAGCAATATTTTCCTGCGCGGTGAGTTGGGAGCAGAGCAGAGAAGAGCAGGATCTCGGGGCGGTCTATCAGCGGAAAGTGGGAGGAGCTGTGCAGGAGTCGGCCGGAGGTAGCGGAATCCCGTTGCACACCAGCAAGCACGCGACTATTGGGACGGGACTCGAGGTGGCTAAGGTGATTAGAGTACTGCTTAGACGCAACCCTCAAAGTCGCCAAATGCCGAGGACTGCGGTAGGGGCGGATGCTACGTCTGGTAGTGGTGTGACCTCAGCTCGCATCGCCCCCAATCTGGCGATTCCCCTAGGCTCGGGATTTCTGGACTTATGTCAGCCTCGGTCGTCGGTCTTGGTGTGTCCGGGTGTGTGGTGCCGGTGGTGTGATTTGAGTGTGCGGATGAGTGCCGCCTTGGCGCAGCTGGATGGGATTTTGACAGCGGAAGGCGACAGACTGTGTCTGGGTCTCGCCATGGAATGCAATGGATGGGTTACATGTGCGATGAAGAGATCTTGCCTGCTGCGGATTCCCGAGACGGGCGATGGCATGAAGACGGAGACGGAGGGGAACGGGGATGGATGCGGGCGGGGGGTCATTGCCAAGATGCAGCCAATGTTGATCTCGGAGCTTGGCGGGGTTTGGGGGGGACTAGGTTAGAGCTGTCTATCCGTACCGCCGATGGTGTGGGGGTGGTGTCGGGGATCGCTGTGGAGATCTTGCGGGCCCGGGCTCGGTGGAGTCCCGGGTCTGGAAGCTCAACGTCGTTCCTTCCCTGAGACCTCTCCTTCCTCCGATCATCTTTGGTAATTGTACACGTGACCCGACGTACCTTCCCACCTTCCTTCACCTTACCTTCCATGGCTGAAGCACCCTACCTTACACAAGGAGCCTATTCACCTCATTCTGTCACCAGCACACCCATCCGGCCACTTGGCCGGGTGGGTTAGACTCTGACGCAGAGTCGATAGTAAATGAAATACTCCAATGAAGCCGTGCTGGCCTGAGGGGCGCGCTGTTCGAATCCGAATAGGGGCGTGAATTATCGAGTAAGTTATCACCAGCCCCATCCCTTGTTCCTTTCTTTTTGCATTTTTCTCGTAATTCCACGTTAGGGATCTGCATCACCAGTTACAGAGGGCTCACATGTTTGATGGGAATCGACTTTGGAGCATGGAATTTGAGGCTGCATGGTAGATATATGTGGGAAGTATGTGAGTTGGACCTATGCTTTGCTAAGATAGTTCGTGATAAGCGGTTAACTGACTCCGTCCGTAGTGAGGTAGGTCATGCTTGGAATGAATGGTCGGACAGCACTTGATAATCCAAGCCACCTATCACGGAAATAACTGCAAGATACTATCTATCTCACACCGAAACTCTGCTCCCCCAGCCTCCTTCGTGGCAGAAACCGCCGCCCCTCCGATAACACTCACGACTCGAGTATCTCGGACCATATGCTCTGCCCCCAACGGGTTGTCCCCTCTCCCTACGGCACCTCCTCATAGACTATGCGCCTCTCAACGACCAGCAGCCACCTCCACGCGCGGTCCAGAGACGTTCTACGCCCCTGTCTCCTTCAAAAAGATGGTAGTCGCCCGGTTGGGGATCCAACCATCGGAAGAGGTACTCTGATAGAGGGAAGATCAAGGCAGAGGAGCTTGTGCGACGGCCTGACGAGCGTTTTTCTGTTCTACGCGCGGAGATCCGAAAGCGTACAGGTTGGCGAGAGCTTCTTTGATTGCTACTTTAGTCAGAGGAGTATAGGATTTGAAGGAGAGTGGGAGCTTGGTTAGGGCGTTGATCAGGTGTGCTGCTGATACTCTTGTGCCGCCGTCGCCTTTGACTGTAATGAGATGGAATGATGCCCGTAAAATGCAAAATAGCAGAAATATCAGCGATCTCTGGTGAGAATCGTCACCCCATGTTCGGTCATCTCGACGCTGACTGCGCGTTGATTCGGGAGCGCTTTCTTCCTGTAACTGCGGCTATCGCATACAATCTAGAGGCGCCTCGGTCTATCCATCCATAGATACTGGTTGGCCCTAAAAGCAAGCATCTACATGCGCTGCGTGGATACGACAGCAACTATACGGGAAGAGGTAACATCTCTCTTCTTGCATATGCTCGGAGATTGCGACATGCCCTGAGGAACGTAGGCGCCGGTCGCCGACTTCTCTGCATTTTATGGGATGGAGCCAGTCCCCTCGCCAGCTCGGCTCTAGGATTTCCCTGTAGCATCCGAGTTGCTTGAGGATGCGCAGACCATTGAGAGGAGGCCGATGCTGGCACCGTACCCATTTGAGGTGCGGTGGAGGGGTAGGCTTCGAGAAGGGTGTAGTCCATGTTGTTAAACATTTCAATCATGTTTGCTAGGGCGAGAGCCGCTGCACTTCCGGAGAAGGTGACAATTCTGAGGCATATGGTGCGTAGTGGCGATGATGATGGTGACGGCAGTGGTGAGAGGGGCGCGTGGGTGGTCGAGGGTTCGGTGTAAGTGACGGCAACACTGCTGGGATATCGAGACATCGGCTGAAGGCAAGGATTCGTTTATGGACAAACATGGAAGATTGTGGAGTTTTCTTGGTCTCGTATAAGTGAGAGTTGACAACGTATTCGCTACGGTTAAGTCATCCTATGGCGGAGCTCGAATCTTGACAACTTGCACTTGCCCGATAGCAGATCTGATACCGGACATAATCACAATCTGTCTTTCATCTAAGTGGCATGAGAGGAAGTGGTTTTCAAGACTAGTAACATACAATCTCGCGTCAAAGACTTGAAGGGTGACGTGTGGATCCGAGGACGAGGTCTTTTGGACTCAGTCTCTCGTGGATGTCGTGCTCGTGCGACGACCCACGAGCCAGCTGTACGGGAGATTGAAAGTGAAGTACAAGAGTGATCAAGTGCGCTTGTAGCCATGAGAATTCATCTTCGGGCGTTCGCAGACCTATCAACACAAGGTAGCTGTGAATACTGTGGCTACTATGTCTTCGCAGGGAGACGGAGCCGAGCTGGATAAGAGGTTAATGCGCAGCGTGTTGTGCTTCCCATGGCTATGGCGTCGAAGTAAGGACCTTGGTGATGGTACATATTCCGTAGAAGATACAGTTTGTGACCTTCTGCATGCGAGATCTGCGCTGCAACCCAGCTTTGAGCTTCTCCATAGGTCAGGTACAGTCACCCGGAATCGATCTTCCTCTGTAAGCGGTGGTGGCTGCGTCTGGCCCGCCTCATCTCACGTACATGCGAAGCTCGAACAATTTCCAAAGAGCTTGTGGAATAATAACAGATCAAAGCATTCCGTTCTTCGCTGCAAATAATTACATGCCTAGCTATAAGATTAGCTGAGAGTTCCTGGAAACCACCCAAGACAGACAGCAATGGAGCACTTGACTTTTGTCAGCGCATTGGGCACACCTATTCTCGCTGTACTTCGAGGCGATTCAGGCGCCTTGTCCGCGCTAGCAACATGTAAAATTGGGTGAAGTCACTAGGTTTATCGGCAAAGAAAGAAGCATGCCATCAGACTACATGCCCCCCTCCGCTGACAACTCTGGAAGAGCCCATTGAATTTCCAGAAAGCATTCTCCCGAGAGCTTCGATGAGATGTATTGCGTGGATGCTGCATTCCTGCGCAATATTGGGGTTTGATCGCCGCGGCTCACAGTGACCTTTACAACTAGACATCTTACCTCGCAACCATGGCTGGGGATTAGGACTATTGGGTGGCAAGCTCGACAACATCTTTATCCCTGTTCAGAGACTGAACGATACAACTCCGCCAGTACAGCGTTTGGACCCGCCCATGCAAAGTATGTAGTCACTGACAGCATTACAGAAAATAGCGACTGAATCTCTCACAGCGCTGAAAGTCTCGTTGGACATTGTGAAACACACTATTCTTCTACGATGGATTTTCTATCGCTTCAGTCACCTCTGCCTGATCACTCCGCGACTACTATTCAGATGGGTAAGTCGAAGCCTTTGACCTAGGAGACTTCCCTGACTCTAGATCGAAATCTTTATCCTGAACTAACTTACGAGAAGTTGAGGTCGAAACACCACAATGACTTTGGGATACTCGGGCAAGGCCCTCGAATGGTGCAAAGGCCCTATTTCTCTAGTGGGGCGACCAAAAAGTCTGAGAACACCCCGCCTGCCCATCGGCACGTCCTGACGCGTCTTCCTCAGTTCACCTCAAACGCTCTTGACCATAATTAAATGAGCGCCGATACCGGATTGCGCGCCTTCGCGGCCCGGCTTCGAGGAGAACGGAGTTCTGGCTTCGAACTGAAAGAACAGGAACGAGTAGCAATTATTGCTCTTGTTCTGGGCGGCCGAAGCTATCGCAACGTTGCAGCGATTTTCGGCTGCTCGCTCGGCGCGGTCGCATCGACGGTTCGGCGGTACAATAAAGATCATACTTTCAAGGTAGCACCCTGGAAAGGCAGGCCGAAGAAAGTCTCGGCCGACACGTACGTGAATCTGGTACACATTCCTGGTTCTACATCTTAACACTTGAATAGACGACCAGTAACATTATGACTTGAGTCTGGACAATGGTTAGATTTGCTCGTCCGCTTGTCGCCAAGATTCCAATGGCGGCTCAGGCCATGTGCTTATACTGGGCTTTCAACAGGCTTTGAAGTCTTGCACATAGACTGGATTCAGAGGAAACTCTTCACCAAGCTTAGTTCCGGGAATGCAGATCTGCAACGCATGATCTTTTCGAAGACATCACTTGTTGCTCGACACCAAGAATGGGAAATCTTTTTTCTCATTAATCGGTGACCTCGTGGAGTTCTTCAACCAACTCTCTTTACTCATCCGCATCACTTCCCAAGTCCTCAGCGAAGAACTCCTCGGCGGCCTGCTCGCCTCTCTTGGCCACGACCTCCACGGGCTCCTCCTCGTCCTCAGGCTCGGTGGAGACGCGCCTCTCAAGGTCGCCTGCCTCTTCGAGATCGGCCGCCACGAGGTCGGCGTTGGAGAGCTCCTGTCTCTTGATGACGATATCGGGCAAGTCGGCTACCGCCGCCCGGGCGAGAACGGGAGCCTGTGGGATATGGTATTAGTGACACGGCTCAGATATGAGAGATAAATGCGGGGGAGAGCGTCATGTGCAGCGTGGAATGCGGGAAGGATTTTGGGACTACTTACCACGGTGAGGGCTACGCCTGAGAGGCTGAGAGAGTTCACACCAGTAACGGCGACCAGGCCGACAGCGAAGAATGATTGAAGCTGCATCTTGAAAAAGCGAATTGTCGATAGTGGTATTATAAGTCGATGGTAATATTAACTGGATTGAAGAGAAGCAGATCTGGGTTGGAAATTTGACACACAACCACCACAGGAAACGCACGAACTTTGACCTGCCTATATATCATTCATAGACCCGGGAGGTTTCTGGACAGACGTGCGGTCGCCCACATGCCGTTCAAGCGAACATCTGAAGTTTTGCCAGATGACGAATTCGACACTGTTGGGAAACCAGCGTCAGTGTCAAAAGTATAACCGCAACAGTCCGTTTCACATGTTTTGACCAACCCCCCAAAAGGACAGGCCTAAAGCGCTGCAGCCCTGGCAAAGGTCCAGGCATGCCCGCCGCGGGGGAGCCAGCCTGAGAGGGGAACAAGGTCCTAGTGTACAGCTGCAAAGGACGGGCAACGCGGCCAAAAACTCTGACTGCCCGCGTCGCGGTGCTCTCGACCTGTCAGATCTTCGTCTCATGGGTGGTGAGCGACCTTTCACAGAACTCTCAAACCCACTGACATCCTTCAGACACTGTTTAACTCCATCGTTTTGCATTACTAGAGGATTACCGCAGTATATATAAACGCTACCCTACCCTCGAATTCCGCACTATTTAACTTTAACCCTTTTCTTACCTATCCTTTCCTCTATTTTACCCTCTCCCTTATTAAAAAATCGCTAGAATCGTAGTTTTAATAGCTTATTAATAAGCTAATATTATTATTTAAAAATAAGTAACTTATTTTTATATATAAGTACTAAGAGTTTTATTATTATAAAAATAGTAATAAATATACTAAAGTATTTAAAAAAGCTTTTTAATAAATTTCTAATACTATTTAAAGTAATTATCCTTAAGCTATAAAAGGAAGTCGAAGTACTATATTAATACGGCCTTATCTATCTTATTAATATTAATAATAGTTTTTTTAATATAAAATATATTACTAATACTCTATAGCTACGTTATTACTTTTTATAAATCGTACTTAATATTAATAAGGATTTTAATATTATTTTTTAGTTCGTTTTTTAGTTTTTTTATTAAAGCCGTTATTATAAGGTTAGTTTAATTATTAGTATTTTAATAAGCATTTTAATTTAACTTAGAGGCTTTTATAGCCCTTAAAAAGAGGTTTTTAAAAGATTTATAATTAGACTTTTTACTTATTATAAGCGAAGCTATTATAGTTAAAGCTATAGTATTACGAACCTCGATAATAAGTAATTAATAATATAATTATCTTTTTTTTATAGTAAGTTTAAAAAAGTATTTTAATTTAAGTACTAAGTAGGTACTATATTATTTTATTAAAACTATATTCTTGTACTTATAACTTAGAAAGAATTAACTTTCTTCGATAACAAGGTACTTAGACATCCTTCAGAATTCGCTCACTGTTCGGACGGGGGGTCACTGAAGCTACGCGGGCCCTGTCAATCCTCCCCTTCCCCCTCAGTAGCCCCCGGGCCACTCGTGGCCCCCCTAAGAGACTGGTGGGAAGAGGTGGGATGAGACCAGAGATTCTATGTTGGGAGGGGCCTTGGGGGCCAACTACACTGTACATGGGCAGCTGTGGTGAAACAAGACAGGTTTCTGACGGAACTCTCGTGGTGCGACGTTTGTGTGAGAGGGCCAAGCCTGGGTTGCGCTGTTGCACGACCTCTCTCCAGGGATCCACTTTCGCCCTCGCCGTATCCGTAGTCGTCAGATCAATTGCGGGAATTTGGGGGTGACAGTTGCCGGTTGCCGATTGAACGTCGGCATATCGGCATGGTTGAAATGCGTCGAAAGGCCTATCACTGTCGGCAATTGAGTTTTGTCGAAGGGGACTGTTGCTGAAATAGCCACTCAAGTAACGTTTTTCAACATAGCCCAGCCAATTTTGTCTGAGGTGATAAATGCGTTCTATACATCAATCAGATAACATGACACAATGCACTGCAGTGTGTGAAAAGCGCCTCAATCGTGAATTCATGTTCATGAGTTCGTAATAGTTCTCTTCATCGTCCCAAGATGCCCAACGCTTAAAAAAGTGTATGAGATGATAGCGCTACTCTAAACCCGTCTAAGCCATCAAGGTTCTCTCTGAGCTCCTATATGATGATGATTCTAGTACAACTCCATCTTTTCTAAATTTTCAAGATGAATCAATCCATTGGCAGGCTGTTAATTTGTCAGTACTGGATCAACGAATGCTAAGTATCACTGAAAGAAACTTACCGGAATGTATTGCCTCAACTTGACACCCGCTTGCCGGAACACCGCTGCCGTCTCCGTATCCATGCTGTATCCATGAGCATACACCACCTCGTCGATGCCGACCTGGCAGATCTTGATGCTACACGTCAAGCAAGGGCAAGTATCACAGTACAGCACGGCGCCCTCGCGGATACGCTCCCGGCCAGCCTCCAGCAGGGCATTCTCCTCGGCGTGGATGCACAGGCACGTAGCCAGGCCGACGCCAGACGAATTACCCGAGTTGCAGCGGGAGCAGCCGCCGTCGGAGCAGTTCTGCAGGCCGCGGGGCGTGCCGTTGTAGCCGGTGGAGATGACGCGTTTCTCGCGCCCGACGAGGACGGCCCCGACGCGGCGCTTCATGCAGTTCGAGCGCAGGGAGGCGAGCTCGGCCAGAGACATGAAGTAGGCGTCCCAGGTGGGCCGGAGGCGCACCGGGTTGGCGAGGTCGAGCTTGCCGAGCGTGGCGTAGAGGTGCGCGATGGAGGAGGAGGTGTTGAGGAGGCGGACGGTCGCTCGCGAGATGAGCGGTTGCAGGCCCTGTTTTGGGTCGTAGAGGTGGGTGTCTGAGGCGAGGGCGAAGGACTCGAGGGTGCAGTGGGGATTGTGGAGGGCGCGGAAGCGGGCGTGGCGGACTGTCAAGGGAGCGTCGACGGAGATGAGCATGAAGAAGGGGCGTCTGGAGAGGACGTCGAGGATGGCTTCGTTGTGGACGTCTGTGGTGACGAAGCGTGATTGCCATCGGGTAGTTACGTATTCCAGCAGGGCGTCGGCGGAAGAGAAGACGAGCTCGTTGGGGTAGTGAGAGTGAATGCCGTTGGTTCGCGGTTGTCCGCTCAAAATAGTCAGGGGAGCGGGAGAGAACGCAGGTTTCTGCTGCTGTTGTTTTGGCTCTCTGTCGGCGTTGCTGCTGGTAGCCACGGCAGTATCTATGCTCCCTTCAGGGGCCCATTGAGGATGAGGGCATTCAGCCTTGGTATGGCCTTTCTCGTTGCAGTTGAAGCATGAGCCCGATGCCCCTCCCTTGTTCTTCTTCTTCTTGTTCTTTGAAGAAGATTGCTGCTGAGAACCGGAGGCATTGGTGCCGTTGGTGAACTGCGGGTCAGCTCGCTCCGGCTCTGGCCGGGGCTCCGGCACCGGGGCAGGTTTGGAGACCGGAGCCTCATCCCGGGGTGGAGTTGCGGCAGGGTCCGTCAGGCGGAGCAGTCTGAAGCCATGATGCTCGACCAGATATTGAGCAACGCTCTTCTTGCCGGCACAAATGCCTTACGATTGTCAGAATAATGTTCGCAGTTGCTGAAGTGGATTGAGTTTTGACTCAGGAGTCGGTCGACTTACCACCACAGATTCCAATCAGCATCTTGGCCCAGGTACCGTATCAGACAAGATTTTATTGTAAGAGTAAGCACCTCAAAGGGGGAAATCGGAAAATTTGATCGAGTCTGCCTTTATCCGTCGATCGTCAACCTCCGACGTGCAGCTCTGCCGGTTGCGTAAACTCCTTAAAATCAACCCGGCAACAAGTGTCCAACGGAAAAGTCGCGATCTGAATTCTTTGCATGAACGCGTCTCCACGCGTAAAGCCGTTTTTGCAGCTCGGGCCAGATCATTTGGGTGTCCCCCGCGGACGTCGGGTCGAATTACTCCGATATTTAGCCGGTGGGACCTGCAGAGCATGACACAATCATCTCCCGTGGCACCGAGCGAGCTCCCGTCCCCCACCTTTGGTCGTCCAGCTGAGGTGGGCAGCCTGGCGGGGGAGAAGCTACCCAAACGGGCACCTGCCCAAGGTGTTTGCCCTATCATGCCTCACCTGTTAGACAACCATCTCACCCCCAAAGGAAGCTCTCACCAGCCTTGTTCTTGTGACTTCCTGACTCCGACAAGCCGCCGCTTGACTGCCTGTTCTCGTGACTCTTTTCAACTTGACATTTCCAAGCATCCCTCAGGCACAGCGACACCGCCCGGACCCCTCCGCTTTGTCCGGAGACTATACGGAACTGCGACCTGCCTGTTCCGTCATACTGAACCTAAGCCCTCTACGCTTTTGAGTCATTTCGACCTAAATCGCGACCTGCTTTCGGTTTGTTCTCCTACATACCCAAATCTCCGGAACACACCTAGGGGCTACAACGTTCTCCTGGAGTAAATATCGTAGCATAGGCCGAATACCGAGTCCAGGCGCAAACCATCGCGAAGACTGCCTGCATTTCCCCATACGAGCGCCAAAAAGCGCGCGTCCGCCACAGCTTGCCCACCATGGCAGCAATCCAATATGCGCCCTTCTCTTCCGAGATCGAATTGCCGTTTTACGCAGCCCTCTTCTCCTCAAAGCTCGAACATGACAAGCTAGACGACTCGGCGCGCCGCGTGCTTGGCCAGTACACTGCCCTGCCTGTCGAGCCAGGCCAGAGCTGCAAGATGTCCATTCTTGGGAATGCCCTCACTAGCGACCAGTAAGGCGCTCTCGCAGATCTTCAAGTCTGCTTCACGTAGATCAGGCTGGGACTGACGGGGAGAACAGGCCCAACGATGAGCATGTCCGCGCCGAGGGCTTCATCAAAAACGTCAATACGATCGAGGACTTCAAGAATACGGACAAACAAGCCATGCTGAAAATGGCAGCGAGACATGTAAGCCGAAATCGTAGTTGCATTAGTACCTGAGCGAGCTCTGACGATCGCCTTCCCAGGTATGGGACGCCATAAACGACGGCACCATCTACTCCGTACCCTCCCTCCTCTCCTCCTTTACG